CTACAAACGCTGACTTGTAGCTACCAAACCAGGTAGCTAAATATCAAGTTCAATGGTAAAGTCATCTAAATTAAGATTTTTAAAAACCTAAATGTGTTAATGTAACAACTGAGTACTTTTTAAGGTTCCTAACAAATTAACAATATAGTTTACTTTGTATCTGTATGCCTCAAAACAGGTTATACGGCAGCTATCAGGCTCCTGTAACATAAAACTTAAACTATTCATCTGATACAAAAGTAACACTTGCATACACTCTCACTTTTGCAATGCTTTAAATAACCTACAAAGTCATAAGGTGATTATTAGTTGAGAATTCTAAAACCCTAACTCCTTCTCTGGGATAGGCCTTAAGTTCCAAAAAAAATATTGCTAATACATAAACCCAGATTTATACTGCTAAAATAACAAAGAATATATAGTCATCATCCTGAATTAATGTTGGTAAGTGTGTGTCCTTGAAATAGCAATGTGTAGCTGGGTGATTGTGCAGTCTATGCCCCTAACATTCCATGTGTCTGGGTTCTGCAATAGTAGTTTTAGCATGCAGGAATTAGAGGGAACTGGTGACTTTTCGATGCCTATGTAGGGGAGATTAAAAGTGCAAAGGAATTGCTAGCAGTTTCCCAAAAACAAGAGTTGGAAACACAAATATAGAGACACTCGGTTAGCCAGTCCTTTCCAGGTGAGAACAAGCCAGGCCATACTTTGTGAAGGAAAAGCTTAATCTGCTTCCTTTGATCACAATGAAGAAATAATAGAAATGATCATGGTTTATCAGAAAGAGAGAAAAAAGCCTGCTGATGAATAAATGAAAGTAACTTTTACAACTACAGGCAATTAGCTGTACCTGAGACAATTCCATCAGTGGGTTACTATCATTCAAAGCTTTTAAAATACAAATAGCTCAACAACCCATTTTTCCAGTTTTGTTAAATTAAAGTGCACGTTTACTTGCTTAAAATAGCCATATCTAAGTTAATCATACTCAGATGCCAAACAAAATATAAACAATAAAAAATGTGTCAGCCAAAAAGCTACAGGGTTGTGTCCAATCACTGAATGCCCCTTATCATTGTTTTCATCTTCATTCACAATTTATGAATGCCGCAGTCCTTTTGAATCACAATGGTTTAATTGTCATACAATTGAAATCTTAATTATTTGTTCATCATAAAAATGCATCATTATAATATTAGATTTAAAAAATTTTAACACACCAAAACTAGACAACATTTCTGTTTCGTGTCTATGACAATGTCAATGAAAATTTTCAATTACTAATCTAGATTCATACTTTTGAAAGTTTCACTAAACTGTCCCATAAGTTTAAGGGTTTAATTAGCTGCTGCAAATAATAGTTCAGGACTAGGTTATTTAATTCATCACTTGGTGAGTTCGTTGGGCATCCATGAAAGGATGAAAGCGCGCCCAGGTAAGTCGCTCGATCCAACCACTTTTTCATTTGACCATCTGATTGAAAGAGATAGAAACTGGTTTTAGTTTTTAAATATAAAACCAGTGTTTTACCTCTTAGTATTGTTCTTTAGATTTTAGGGCAATTTTCGAAGTTTAAAAAAAATGACCTCACTTTTCTGATATTACTTTCTGCCTTTCGGGTTATATTCAAATATCATCAAATGAACAAGTCTCACAATAAAACAAACATGCCTTAGAAGTCCTAAACATTGACTACAACCAACTAAACTCTTGTCAGTTTAAAAATCGCCTCTGAAGTACGGGTCTCTGAAACACCCAAGTGCGGGCAACTGCAGACTAGGACTTTAGGTCCCCAAAATGCGCAAAGAAATGGGTGGCCAGGACCACCACCTTAGACTGGTGGTCACCAGCTCACTTTGGGCAGCTGAGCCCAGAGGCGCTCGACCTGGCTCTCAGCCCTTTGCCCAAGATCCCCCTGCTCCCAAGCCGGAGTCGCTCCACGCACTCCGGCCAAAGAGTTAGGGTGCCGCGGCCACTGCCACCAGCTCCCGGGGGCCGCACGGGGGCTCGGGTCCGTCCGTGTCGGCCCTGCCCACCCCGGCAGCCTCGCCCGCCCAGTGCCGGCTCTCCCGGGCTCTCCCCGCCTGGGAGCGGGGCTGGGCGCGCGCGGCAGCCCTGGTCCCACGCCGCCCGCACAGCCCACCGCAACTCCTAGCCACTTCACTAGGGAGACCAGGGTGTGCCGGGGTTAGGCAAAGCCGTTGAGAAATCTGCAGCACAAGAGCAAGAAGACACAACAAAGGCGTCTGGGGCCAGAGAGAAAGCGACCAAGACAAGTACCTGAGTGAGACAGATGGGAGAATACATCATGACTTCGCCTTAAAACGCACTTTCCCGGAGATGCCCAAGAAAATCTTCGAGAAGCGAGGATTTCATCTATTCATTTTACAGTCATCTGAGCCCAGCGGCGATGCGATCAATCAGGACGGGGCTCTGCGCCGGATCACCGCAACTTCGCAACAAACCCAGTCCTCCTTAAATAGCCAAAGATTCAAGTTCACTCGGCGTGCTAGATTTCCCGGGGTGAAATCCAATCTACAGTTTTAACCCTCTTGCGGTCCGCGCGCGCCGGCCGAGCTCTCCAAGGCCGCCGCCGGTGTAGGCTGCTGGTCGCCCGGTTTGGGGGATTTGTTTTCTGTTTTGCAGTTGTTGTTGTTGTTGTTGTGGGCTTGGGGTGCTCGAGGGTTCGGTATAGGTTGGATTGGGGTGGTGCTGGGTGATGAAATGCTTTTTTTTAAAAAAAGGCGGGGTGGGGGGCGCAGGAGGCCGGGCGGTGGGGAAAGCGAGGAGAATGTGTCACCGCGCTGGGAAAGTTCAAGGTTACCGCCGCGAACACTGCAGCAGGATCCGGGAGTGGCGATCGCAGGCGAAACTTTGCCGCGAGCCGACCATGTGTGTGCGCGAGGGGGAGCGCAAGCGAGTGCGCGCGGGTGGTGGGGCGCGCGCCGGAGAGGGCCGGGTGGGGGTGGGGAGGGGGGGATCAGGGAGAGGCCGGGATATGGGAGGGGGGCGCGAGCACGGAGCTCCCGGGCGGAAAAGACTTTGCTGCGCTCGGGGCCCCGCTGCACAGCCGCCCGCCCGCCCGCCGCGCCCCGCGTCTGACCCGCCGAGCGTGGACGCCGCTGCTGGTGCCGCTGCCCACAGCCCACGAAAAGGATCGGAAGGACCTCCTGAAAAATTCCCAAACGATCGATCCCGCTCAGCTGCAAACTCCTCTTTTCTGTTCTGGGCGCTTTTCCCCCTCCCTCTCTCGCTTTCTTTCCTTGAAAAACTTGCAAGTTGAAAGATTCACCGGTTCCACCCTCTGGACCCCGCTCGAGCTCTCTCCAAATCAGACTTAAGGATTGTTTTATTATTTAATTACACAATCACCGCTTTACTCCTCCTCCTGCAAACGCGCGTTCCTTTTGCACCAGCCTCTCCACACCCCCCGCCCCCCACCTTCCTCCTCCTCCCGCGCGCCTCCCCCAGCCCTCGGGTCTCTCCCCCTCATTTGTTAAAGGTATCAGACCGGTGCCACAGTACTGGGACTTTTTTTTTTTCAAAAAATAGCTCTACCACCCTTCGTGCACCCCCGAAAACCCGCCCAGAGAGCGACATTTCAGTGTTCGCTGCAGACGCTCAAGCCACGAGAACATCCTAATGGGAGAAGCCCTGAGCCGGTCTGTGCCCGAGAAAGAAACGAATGGAAAATTCCCTCACACCCAGGCCGCCCCGAGCTGGGGCTAGGGCGCCGACTCTAGCACCCCAGGCGGCTGCAGGGAGAGGGCGGAGGCGGGGACTGGGTGAACTTGGCCTCCAGGAGTTGGGGCGCACCGGCACGGAGACGGGGGGGGGGGTGGCGCGGCGAGTAGCCCAGCCCGGGGCCCGCACTGACGGACGGGGAGGGGTGGCGGGGTCCCCCAGGGCCCCCCCTCAAGGTCTCAACGCGGCGGCCCGCCCTCCCCCGGCGCTCGGTGCACGTGGCCGCGCTCGGAGCGGGAAGGCCGCGCTGCCGCCACCGCTCGCCCCTCCTCTGCGCGCCCGGCCCCTCTCCTCCTCCTCCTCCTCCTCCTGCCGCGCTGGCCCGCGTCCCAGTCCCCACCCCCAGAGCCCGGGGCGCCGGCGGAAAGCGGCTCCCTTCCCGCGGGGGTGCGGGCAGGGCGGGGCTGCGGCGCGCCCGGGGCTGCGGGGCGGGAGCGCGCCGGGTGCGTGTGCGGCTGCGGCTCCGAGGCTGCTCCCGCCGGCGCCCCGCCCCCCCGCCGAGTGAATGAACTTGATTCCCGGGACCCGAGGAGGAGGAGGAGGCGGCGGTGCCCGCACCCCCATTCGCGCGGGCACTCTCTCCCACACACACACACCGCCCCCCAAATTCCGGGTTTCCGCTAGGGGTGGGTGGGGAAGTGGAGGAATCAAAGGCTGCGCAGACAATGGAGAAAGAAAAGTGAGCGCCCGGGGCTCCGCGTCGACCTAGCTTGGGGCCGCCGAGCGTTTCCAGGCCCCCCGCGGCCCTCCCGCTCCCACCCGGTGCCCTGTACTTTCCCCCTCAACTTTCTCCGCTCCTCGAGCTCCTGGCCACCGTGCCCTCCCCCGGAGGACCTGAAAGCACCAGTGACTTTTTCCTTCCCCAAGTGGAAGTTACCCACATCAAGCATTTCACGACGACACATCAAGAAAAGTAGGCAGGTTCAAGTCAACCATGAAATGGTCACTTTTTAACCCCGTCCTGTCCTCATTAGGGAAATGCTCAAACACAGTCCGTTTTCAAAAAGCGCTCTTAATGAGGCGAGCTTGCCAAGTCTACCAGCTGCAGCCCCTGTAAACCAAGAGCCCGGTGAAGAAAGGCGCAGGGGGTGGGGAGGCCAGGAGGCGGGGAGGGCCGCGAGTCTGGGAGGACAGGTAAAGTCGGGGAAACTGTGAGAACGCGGGCGAGTTAACCCTTTCGGGCACGCGCCGCGGGGAGCGGCCTCCCGGCCCCCGCTAGGCAAATCCTCTTGTTAGCGTTCTGACAACGTTAATTTCCTTTGTACCGGTCATTTCTTCTTCTTGAAAAGCTGGGATAAAGTTGACAGTCTTTATAGATGAAAGGAGGTGACAGTCGGGGTTAATCCAAATAAATACTCACTCCTCTCTCATAAATTTTAGGCAACCTCATCTTAACTTAAAAAAAAAAAAAAAAGAAAGAAAGAGGGGGAAAGAAAAAAAAAAAAAACAAGTCGCCAACAATCCCAAAGCATCACTTTGTGCTGAGCGGCATCCCTTTTCTCACCCTCACCAGATTCTGCGGGAGGGGGCGGGGACGCTCCACTGATAATACCAGCTTTAACTACTGGAGTTTCCCTTTGAACAAATATTCAATTTAACTGGAGTTAATTTACCATAAAAGACATTCCCCTTGGCACGAATGCACTCATGTCCTTGAACACACCTCTTTGAATGCCTGGACTCTTACAGAAGCCATTATTTCGGGGTCTCTTTAAAAATCCAGTGCCCATCTCTCTGCCTCCCTCCCTCCCTCCCTCCCTCCCTCCCTCCCTCCTCACTACACCACCCCCAGCGAAATCCTGGCACCCAGAGAGCACTCTTTTCAGCCAGAGCCCAGAACCAGCCGTTGTCCCCTGGCAAAAGAGGCCCAGTGCTGGGCCCTGGGCAAGTGTCTCCAGACATCCCTACCTTTCTTTATTAGTCCTCTTTCACAACAGAACCTATTTCCTTTTGCCACTAAAACTACGTTGCATCCAAAAGTTTCTCATAAGCTTAAAAAAAAAAAGAAAAATGAAAAACTGATACCATTATACAGAAGAATTCACAAAAGCTGCAGAGCGCCAGGGCAGAGAAACAGCAGCGTCAGACACAGGTAAGAACCCAAGAGCCCAAGGTTCCAGGTCTCCCAGGCCCATCCCTGAGAGGCTCAGCACTTCCAGGTGTCCCCTGTCTGTGTGTGTACAGTGCTGATGGCTGGGGTACATGCTGGTGCATAGGGGATGCTTTGTAGTTTGGGGTTTTGATTTGTTTCCAAGACAAGAAAAACGGAAGAAGCAGTAACAGTTAGGTGAGGAAAGTCGAGAGAAGAATGAACAATAGACATCCCGGAAAGAGGGGCTCAGGGATCCTGGGTGTGGAAGGCTTTGACTTTCAGACCTTGGAGTCAGGAGGGCTGACACCTGGACCCCAAGCTCTGCTGCCTGCCCAATGCTCAGAACATTGTAGGCCTTCCCAGGGAGAATCCTAGGAGACTGCTCACGGGAAATCTGGGCTCCTGGGACTTCTGCTTTCTCTGGCTTCTCTCAGCACTTGTCAGACCCCTTTGCTTTGAGAAGCACCAATCTTTTCAAATCCAAGGAAGAGGGTAGAAAGGATGAATTGCAGAGTGTGTATGTTTTCTAAAAGTAGGTCTCAAGTTTTTCTGAAAGTTTCTGATTTTGTCAAAATAGGCCAAACACCCAGATTTTGGTCCTTGCCTCCTCTGAACTCTGTTCTCCATTTCTTACACTGGGGCTAGGACAGGCCATCTACACTAAACTGAAAACCTGCCCTCTCAGCTACAGGGAGATCTGTTGCCATATTCCCAATGATCTTCTTGAACCATTCTCTGCTGCCACGTTAGGGAAAGTATCTTTTCTGACAGAGAAGTTTATTTTTCGAAAAGAAAAGTCAGGACTTGTAGTGGCTGGGTTCTCAAAACCCAACGGTATATTACAAAATACACATTGCCACCCAGTTTGAGTCTTTCTCTGACCTCCAGAGAGGAGTGTGACATCTCAGGTGTCTCCTGATTCTGATTTTTTGGTTTTGTCTTCTTTACTCTAAAGCTGCAGAAACAGATTGCAAAGCCTGGGCGATTTCATGTTAGGTTTCTCTGAGCTTAGCAAAGCTGTCACTTTCAATGTACACTACTACTTACATTTTTTAGCTCTTGCATGTGATTTGCCGGGAGGTTCAACAATCCTATACACTCTAGCTGCATGGCCAGTATCAGTGTTTAAAAACAAAAGAGACATGTGACCTTCTGACCTCAGGAAGCAAGCTTGCAGAACTGCAGGTGTCCACTATGTCATACCCAGGGACCTTTCTTTCCTCCAAATGTAGCCTGGAAAACATAGATTTATATCCACTAGCAATGCCAACAAAACCCTCCCTCAAAAAATGAATATATAAAGAGCCAGCAAGTGCTAAGACTGCCTGTGCGTGATGGGAACTGCAGAACCATGCCCAGCTCTCTGAGCCCTTAAAGTACTACTGTCAAATTAGGGGAGCAATTTTCCCCCACTGGAGAATTCACAACTGGTTAGTTTCCCCACCTACTGCCAGTCCTCTGCTTTTCAACTGAAATGAATAAATAACCTTGGACTTTTCTTCCCTCCTCTGGGAGCTGTTTGGTCTCCCCTGAGGACAAAACTAAATGAGAAAAAATGACGCTGTTAATAATGCCGTTGCTGAAATGCCTGTACGTAACTATTAAAAAGAAATCCCACTAAGCACTTCGGCCTCAGGAGCACAGTTCCAGGCTGCAGCTCTGAATGTGAATAAGGACCAGTCCAAAGGCCTCCAGGAAGGCTCACTAGTTACTATTTCTCTACAGAGATGAATCCGGTTCCACAAGAGATTCCCAACTTTGAGAACATTTGCTCCCGGGCTACAGAGTCAGCAGCTGGCCTGCAACTTTTGTCTGATTTATTTTGAACTTTCCAAATTTCTGTCACAGTGGCCTGGCTTTGTGCACAGCATTGCAGAGGTTACATACACAGTGGTGTCTTATCTGCTGATGCTGTAGCCTTGGCCTTTTCAAAATACATTATCTTTACGTTGTTTTATCTGGGTGAGTGGATTTGCAGCTCATCTACATATGCTATGACTGGTGAAGACCGACATTCAGAAAAGTCTGTCTAAAACACCCCAGCAGTCTTTACATACTCCTAAGTGTTAGAGGTGGCTGTAGGCTCTCCTAAACCTCTGAGGCCCTTTCTCTAGCTCTCCATTGAAAAGCTGCTGCTCAGTTTCAAAGTCAAAAATAATGCACAATAAGGGGACTTGTTTCCATTTAAGTCTCAAATGAAAACTACAAGCAGCAAAAAGAGAACACAAACAACTATGCCTAAACAAAATATATATTCAGAAAAATTTATGTCTGAATGTATCTGAACCATTTAAAGACCACAACAACAATTTCAAATCAGTGAATACTGTTGAATTATGTGATGCCACACGAGTCCAAAAACAAAGTTACAGATGTGCATGACATCACATCCACTCGAAATTATGTTGCTGCGCCGTCTGACCATATTAAAACTAAATGGATGCCTATGTCGTCTAAAGAATAAAAGGAATTTATTCGGGACATCAAACAATGAATCTGTCACCGTTTAGTGTATGAAACACTCAGCTAATCAATTTCCTGTTAAAATAGCTTTCAACAATACTCGGCTTTAAAATTCATCAGGGCCAGTAAAAACCTTTGCCCAGTGCACAAGAATGCAGCCCTGACCACGGACGATAATTACCATCCTAATACTTTTATTGCCCAAGCGCTTTTCCTGTGCTCCCCATCGCTAGGCAAGAATCTGCAGTATATTGTATCAGTGAGTTGGAGTGCTTGACCTTTGACCAGATATGATTTAATAGGGACTTTTCAGCGCCGGAGCTCTCTCCATCCCTCATACCATTAAATAAAAACATTAAACCTCAAATGTAAAACTGGAAACCACAACGTTTTGCGTTTCACAACCCTTTGCAGTTTTTACTTAAGCTGCTCAAAGGTCAGCCTCTTAGCCTCCCAACACACTTCCCAGTACAGTAAATGCCCTGGGAAGTGGCTCCTTCTGATTGTGATTAAATCTGCAGCCCCTCCTCGCATGCACACATGCACCCTGCTTATTTACACGTGCATTCTTTCTAACCGCAGAAGCATGCGTGTATGACTTTCTGGACTTATTCCACTTTAGGGCTGATTTAAATGTCTGTTCAAATATGGGTTCAAAAGTTAACGCCCCCCCCACTCCCGTTGGAAGTTATAGTTACAAAGGAGGGTGCTATAAGGCCCGTTCAAAGCAAGTCAGTTAATCTTGTGTATTTTGGCGCCTTTTCCCTGCCAGCTACTGTACTTGAGGCGGTAAGGAAAACCTGGAGATCTTGTCTGTCCTGTCTCAAGTTCAGTGGCAGTTCTTCCAACCAGAAGGGGAAGATGTCCATGTTCACAGCCCTAATAATAATTCAGATCACGCCACCTCGGCATCTTGTGTCAAAGTCGAAACTGGCTTCCCCGCCCCCTTCAACCTGAAAGCTGCCAAGTCCTCACACACTCTGCATTCAACCACAACTTAATAGATGGGATGCTGTGCATTAAAATGTGCCCCAGACTCACTGTCGAAGAGGACAAGGGAGAAGGCAGACCCACAGACAAGCACACACAGACTTAAGCAGAAGGGGGAATCGTAGGCTAGGGCAGAAAACGGTGGGGTGGGAAAAAGACGCGTTAAACGGAGCAGGAAGAAATCCATCATAACCCCCCTTTTTTTAAGAGTTGGGGGTGCTGGAGGGAGAAGGGTTAACGATTCCTTCCCGAAACGGGGTGTGGATGAGTGAACTAAACTTTAGAATGACACCAATTTTAAAAGCTCTTTCACAGCAATGGGAGCTAAGCAAAGCTTTTCAAAACGTAAGACTATAAAACAAAGTGTTATCTTATAATCAGTGTTTAAGAATAAAAAGGGAATGGGCTATCTGGGCAACTAAGTATTACTTGTTGGTTTTTTTTATTTTTTATTTTGTGTGTGTGTATGTCTTTTTCCAGTATCGTAAAGGTAGAAAGTAGAGGCAAAATAGGGAGGAAAAAATTCCGGATCCCGCACTGTTTGGATTTAGTGTAATTCACTGAGTCCTGCCATACTTATGTTAAAGTTGCCGACGCTTACAAAATACTTATTTGCATTAGTTCTGAAAATTCAACACCATCATTCAAACTGTAAAGCAAAATGTGACACTTAGAAAAGGAATAAAACAGTAGCTTTTGTACAGAGAGACAGGAAATAAACTGTGTGCATGGGGTTAGGGGGTAGGTTGCAAAGGACGAACACGAAAGGCAAACAAGACCGGTCATTTGAAAGCCACATACCACCGCACTTGCACTAAACAAAACAGATCTTGAGTCTGTCCAGAACCCTGGGCCGCTGACTTCACGTTTCTCAGTTAGAAATTTGTGGTTGTTTTTGTGTCTCTTTTGTGCTTAGGGTTTTGGGGGGTGTTTTTTTGGGGGGTTGCCTGTTTTAAAGCAACGCCGGCGTAGTCTGGTACTTTTTAAAATGTTTTCTTCACTGCCACACTTCCTGGCCCAAGAAGAAAAGCAGGTCGAGGTAAAATCTGCAAACAGGCTGCCCTCTGCGTAGAAACCCAGCTCCCGCTGCTCGCCCTGGCGGAAGACTCTCGGCCAACTCCCACGCCGTGTGCAGTGTGAGTGTGAGCGTGTGTGTGCATGTGTGTGTGTGCAAGTGTGTATGTCTGTGCGTGCATGCGTGCGTGCTTACGTGCGTGCTCCTTCTCTCCCGGACCTCGCCGCTCTGGGATTGGCCTGGTCGCCCGTCCGGGCCTCCCGTCCCGCGGTGCCGCCCCGCCCCGCCCCGCCCCTCTCCGCCGGCCCGGGCGCGGGAAGCCGCTGTTCGTTTCCGCCTGGCGGCGGGAAGGCGCGGAGAGGAGGAGCCGCGAGTGGGCGGGCCCTTGCCGTGGGGGCGTGGCACCGCTGGGTGTTGGAGCGGCCGGTGCTACCAAGCCCAGCGCCTCTGGCTGGGCTTCCTTGCCGGTTCCCCTCCACGTGGCCGGCGCTGCGACCCCTGCCTCTCTGGCTTCGGTGCAGACGGAGACCAA